ATGAACACCTGGAACAATGTTGGGGACAGCGTGCAACCTTGTGGGACCCCCTGCTCAATGTCGAAGAATTTTGACAGTTCTCCGTCTAGCATGACCGCGCTTTTCGTGCACTCTGTCATCTTCTTCAGCACTCTCCACATTTTCCCCTTGATCCCGTATTTGGACAGTTGTTTCCACAACCCATTTCTCCATACGGTGTCGTATGCCTTTTTCACGTCCAGGAAGAAGCAGTACGTCGACTTTCCCGCCCTCTTTCTACCTTGGATGATTCTCCCTACCGTGAATACGTGGTCTACGCACCCCCTCTTCTTTCGAAAACCTGCCTGGCCCTCACTAATGCTATGTTCCTTCTCCAATACTCCCACTATCCTATCGTTCAGCAGCTTACAGAACACTTTTCCTACTGTGTTCAACAGTGTGATCCCCCTATAGTTTCCTGGGTCAGTCTTGTCTCCTTTCTTAAACAAGTTCACAACCACTCCTTCCCTCCATCTACTTGGCGTGTACTCGCTTTTCCACACCCAATTGTATAGCAGTACCATCAGCTGGATCATCCCCTTCCCCCCAAACTTCATGAACTCGTTGACTAGGGGGGGGGAGGGTTGTTCTTCACGTATTTGAATCAACGTGCCTTCTTGTGCTCTGTCCGCGCCGGGCCGCCGGTTGGCAGTTGATGATGGTACACGCCAGGCCACGATCGTCGCCGCCTCAGGTCGCCGCCTCACGATCGACGAGGAATCACAGCGTGGAACAGACGGTGCCGGTTCGGGCCTCCGATGCCGCGGAATCGGTGGCACAAATGCCTCCGTCCGCGGCGCCTTCTGGTGCGTCGGCACCGGCACCATCAACGACTGCTGCGTCGGGGGAAGGGGAGGAGGGGCGAAGAAAAGGTGGGAGTCCTTGCAGCGGGGCGGCACCAGCACCAGCAACAGACAGCGAGGGTTCGGGAACCAGTTTGAGCGAGGAAGGGAGCGACCGAGAAACGATGGTGTATCAAGGGTCTGTTCGGAGCGGACAACAGGTGAGATTAGGCGCAGCCGTTGTGGATGTTGTTGTTGTTGTTCGTCTCTCGCCCATTCATCACGGGCACTACGATAGAGCAACGTGCGGAATTCTACAGGACACGTGACTCATTCGCCATATTTTAGCTTCCGCCCTTTTCACAGGATTCTTTGCTATGGCAGCCCTCCCTTTGCTGTTAACTGCTGCCTTCTCTGACTTCGGCTCTCACTCGTTTCTGTTCCCCAAACACCCGCCTTAAGCATCCTCTCAGCGTGCTTGCTCGCAGCACATTGTTGTCTTTGTCAAGATTCCCTGCCACACCTCAACCTGACGCATACCTGCCGTGCACCATCCATGTTATTGATCTTTCTCTAGGTTTTTGCGGAGGGAACCTCGCTTGTTGTCCTGGGTGCTGTTAGCTCAGGCGGCGAGGTGGGTTCGGTGTTACGCGGTAGGGTGTGTCCAACCAGACGTTTGCCAAGTCTTCCGGTGCAGTAGGGGGGGGGGGGGCGTACTCATTTGTTGCTTGCCGTAGTCATTTGACAAATGACCACGCGTCCCTTTCGAGACTGAGCACCGTTCCTACCCCTACTAGAGACACCACCAACATTTGGGAGCTCTTTACGTTTCTGCCACAAACTATTTAAAAATTTCTTGCACATCTTATCCCCGTCCTCTACGGCCTCTTGTGCCCACCATCTATCCCCAATTACCGCGATCGTTTTTTCGCTGTTGTCTAATTTACCAAACTTGTCCATGTCACACCCTCTCTGTCTCATGTCCTCCTCGAGATCCTCTCTTTCCTTCCTGTACAGCTCACACTCCCCAACTATGTGGGGTCTACTCTCCTCCGATTTGCCACATGGACATGTCTGTCTATCCTCCTCTTCCTCTCTCCTACGGCTGCTGTACCTCTTCCTCCGTTCTGGCAAGTCCAGATCGCCTACTCGAAATTGCAACTTCAGTTTTTTTGCGTTGTCCATGGGGCCGACCAAGTAACTCTTCATCCCTATCCCTTCTTTCAACTTCCCGTATATCTCCAAGTGGTCTTCGCTTCGTACCTTCTTCCGAAGGGTTGCCTCCTCCCTACTTTCTAGCATTTCCTTGACTTTCTTCTTGAACCCCCCAAACCCTTCCGTGTCCAATGTCTCCTCCTCGTCTCCTATCTCCTTCCAAACCCTCTCTACCACCTTGTCCCATCTGATTCCTTTCTTCCCTGGAGTCGCTTTTCCCCAAGCTGCCTTGTCAACCATGGCTGGTAGTCTATCGTCCGACATACTACTTAGTAGGGGGCGGGAGGTTGGCATCCCGCAAAAATTGTCATGTTGACTGCAGCGTGAAGACGACGACCTTCGGCAAGGGGTCGAAATGATGCGGTAGAATGCATAGGGTTACTCTGGTTGGCACGAATTTCCCTTGACTGGTATCCAGCTTGCAAGCGCGCGACCCGCATTCGTTGTTGTCGTCAATAGCACAAACACGGATTGATCGCATGAAGAGCCTTGTCACGATGAAGCGATATATATATATATATATATATATATGTTTTCACCTACGGCATGCACGCACCATTTTTTTGTGCGGAAGCGCACTGTGCGTTGCGCTGTGATGCCGCTTGCATTCTCTTGATAGGTCGCTAAAACGTCCACTCTGTCGGTCCGTTTCTAACTTGGAAACAGTCAGGCGACGAGAGTGTGCAAGATTGTTGGCGTGCCTGTTTCACGGTGATATTGTTCACTTGGTGTGTTTTTCTTGTTGGGTCCGTTCAGGTTATGGCGGACGGAGACATACACGTCTACGGTACGCTGAGGGGTAGGGCTTTGGCTGGCCTGTCCGGCAACAAGTCCGCAAAGGTAACATCGTTGACACGACTTCAAGGGGGGATATGCGGATGTTTTTATATTGCCGTTCGAGGAGTGGTAGGGTTCGATCGGCCTTGATTTCGTGCGAGATTGTCTTGCCCTTTTTTGTTTACGGTCTTCTCCGACGCAGTTGTTTTGAGAGGCGGTGTGACGGGAGTCGAGCGGTTGGTGTGCCGTGTATCAGTGGATGGCTTGCACTGATTGCGGTGTTCCGGGATTTGATCTCCTAGTTCATTCTGAACGTCCGGCGCAACGGTGCGGAGTCGTTTCGGAGTGTTCGGAATTTTAATGAGGTCGCCAGGATGGCGTGGGTCCTTTGCAACATGGGCAATCTATCCCTTGAGAGGGAGTGAAGACTGCGAGCGGGAAATTATTGTAAAACGCGTCAGTGCGGGAGGGGGGCGCATGCCGTGTTGCCTCGCCTGGAACTATGCGTTGGAATCCGTGTGATGGCTTGGATCGTGCTGGCTATGATGTGCTGCGTGTGATGTATTTTTGACGTGATGTCGTCGCGCAGAGAGATATCAGGTTGCAGAAGCGACGGTTGCACATAACATGGTTGGTTATATATGGAAATCATCTTCGTCGCTCAGGGGTACTGGATGAAGCTTGAACAACAATCACTTAATCTTTGATGACAAATGTGCTACCTCTGTATGATATTCATTTCACGTTTTCACATTTTTTTTCTTGCTTTCCTTGTAGATCTTCGCTACGAGGTTCGATGCAGAGTTGGTGGGCGTCGGCGAAAGCTTCACTACGCTGGACAGCCCGGAGAACCTCGCCGGTCTGGTGAGCGAAAAGGGGAAAGAGGGTGCCCGAAGACACCAGTTCGAAGAATTGTAGCACACACGCAGACCTTCGGGCGTGTCTTGGCGGTATTAGGAACATTTTGGACCTTTGTCCAGTATTTGCAGCTGCTTGACAACGTTTCCGGCATTTGTCCGGTATTGGCTGCCTAAGATTTTGCGCGCGCGCGGGGGGGTGATATTGGGAACGAGGGAGGATGTGCAGTGGCAACAACCTGCAATGATGCAGGGGGGGCGGAGGATGATTCTTGGCCGAGTCTTGTACGGTGCCAGTGTAGAACAGCGTATGTGGTGTGTGCGAGGTGTCGAGTATGCGTCACATACGAGAAGAGCGGGGGCGCCTCGGCTGAACTAGGTGGTGTAGGCGAGGCGTGCGGGCGGAATCACACATTCGCGTGCGCGCGAATGGAATGGGATTCACGATGCGAACGGTTGTGAAGGCGCACGAGCTACACTCGCGGCTTGCCGCACTTTTGTTCGTCCTTGCCCCGTCGTGCTTTCTCCATGGCCGCTCGACCTCGCTTTGTCTTCCGTTGGTTTAACGCTTTTTGGCCAAAACCTTCAAGCTTCCCTCACCTGAGCCAATGTAGTGTCTTCATGTCATGCCGTCACAAGGTTCGTGGTAATTCCTGCCTTCCGTTCATTTTCTTCGTTTGGTGACTGTTTCGTCGCGTCCGCCGTGATGTCGACGTCAGGTGGTGGATGCTCCCACCAACGTCTGCCTTCGGGAGAACGAGCTGGTCTTCCACTCCTTCGACCTGTCCGCCGCGAACCCTTGATCGATACAACACAACCAGTGATTCTTTCCTCGTTTTTTATCGTGGCGGGCTGGGTAGTGATCACCACAGAGCACACGTCTAGGAGATCGAGATCGAAGGACTCGTGGACAAGACTAAGGCCCAACTGTCCCACCTACGTAGATGCCTGTAAGGGGTGCGTGTGTGCTATAATTTTCTTCAAGGGGGCCGTTCAGGCCGCGGTTTTGCTGGGCGGTTGACTGAGCTGTGAATCGGTTTGCGCGCTTATTCTTCTGTCTGTAAATTGTTTTTTTTACGGCTCCAGAAAAACGAGCAATCGATTGCGTGTTGTGTTCGGTTGTGCTGTCTCCGGAGTGAATCTCTGGAGTGAAAAAAACTAACTTTACAGGGGGAAACGGTGTAATAATGAGCGACACACGTGCATTCACTTCACTCGAGGGAAAGGGGCAACTGGAACCTTTTCGCGCGATAATGTTCAAGACAACCACTGCAGGAGATTAGCGTGGGACACGAAGGAAGAAACCACCGTTTTTGTGTGACCTTCCGCATGTGACCGTGGCTATCGCGTACACTTCACCGAAAAGAATGTGTCGAGACTTTCGCTTGAATATTCTGGGTGAAAGCATACACACAAACATGGTTGTCGGCGACTACCGCGGGGATGACCGATAGAATGGACATCAATCCCAACACGAAACGTCGTACGCATGGATCAAGTCCACGTCACCGTGGCGGCGTAATCTCACGTAGCGAATTAACAGCCAGGGAATGACTCTAGCAGCGTGAGGTCTCGCATGCAGCATCCAAACGTGCATGTACCGTCTGCGATACTGCCGCGTTTGCTGGGATGGTACATACAAAAGTTGAATATTTAATTAAAGCACCCAACGTTAAACGCCACCGACTAGACCACAACACATGCAAAACAAACAAAATTGCAACATGTAACACGTGTCGAACGAAATGCTTGCTGTTTCAACCACCCCCCGAGGATAAATTCCCTTCCCGCCAGATGCTCACCTTGGTCCTCTGACCGGCTATCACGAAAAATAGTACATCGGTCATAAGAAATGCAAGCTATCGAACACGGTGAATGTACGCCCCATCCATCCTCGAACGTACTGGAATGAAAGCAGCGACGTTGGCTGAACTCTTCCCGTGCATATGCCTCCGGCAAGCAATGATACCACCACCATCATCACAGGGCCGCGAGAAAAGCGGTAGTCCACTTGCAGCCTGCCGCCGGCCTGATGGCAGAGGGTGGAAGCATTCTTCGGGTTGGTACCGCGTTTCAAAGGCCCTCCTTCTCGACATGGGTGTTGAAGCTTGGGGTTCCAGTTATGCCTGCCAATAGCTGTTTGCTTTCCCATCACCCCCGAGTCCCTGAACGTAAAACCAACCACCTCACTCTATGGTACGAAGTACATGTACTTGTTACTATTCCCAGATATATCCTAGCTCGTCGCATGAGACCCAAACTTACACCCCACCAATCTCACTCCCCCGAGACAATAGTCGGACCTCCTTTGCAGCATGTGCGAGTGGGAAATTGCGTTGCGAGGTCAACGCAGATACCACCACGCCCAGGCAGAGCTTTCGCCGTGCCGTGCACGAGTGGGAAAACAGCCTGTCCCCGCAAGTGAACGTACAGTCAGCCAATACCAAGCTATAACTACGTAAGCGGTTTCAGTCACAAACTAGACATACACCCACAAAACAACCTTCGACTTGTGTTGAAAGAGTAAATCTTCCTGCAAGATAAAATAGGCGCACAATAACATCGGCCGCCAAAGGCACAGCAGGAGGATCACGACTGTGCCCCGCTAATTCATTCCGACGGCCACCATGCAATTGGCGTATTTACTTCTCGACGCCGCGGGGGGCAAATCGCCCTTGGAATAGTGCTCCGCGTTTCGAGTGCGCCCCGTCCGGGTGGCAGCGGAGGACACGCGCTCGACCGACGCCGACAAAATAAGCATAACATCTTCTAACACAAAGCTAGCCTCCACAAACACCCCTACCCCACCACTCTCGCCATACGCTTCGCGCCCCCCCTCACCGGGATACATCTACATAGTGCCATCCTGCTATCGGCAAACCCCCGACATTCGTCGATGAGAGGATTTTCTATCAGGCACCGGTACACAGCAGTGACCGAGCTGAATGACAATGGATGAGAAACACGCGCGGTAGATACCCGGGTTGTGTGATTGTGTAAAGCTCACACTATCGCATCCCCCGCCTGTCTTAACTTCCTGATCTCCCAGCCGCCTTCGACAGAAGACCCTTCCACCCACTCGACAACAGCCCCATCCAGCCGCACACACCGCCAGAAGCCGGCGCCGTCACCACTGCCTCATGCTCGGCGTCCCTGGACCCCCCTCTGCCTGCAGAAACAGCCGGCTGCTGCGACGGCAAGAAGAGAGGCTGACGAGGGGACCGCGGCGCCATCCAGCCGTTCCAGCTGCTGGCGGCCACAAGGGTGGGTGCTGGAACGTCGCCGTTCGCCACTCCGGCCGTATCGGATGATTCTCCTCGGTCGGAGCGCACCTCCGCTGTCTTCACGCGAGCTGTTGCGACCTTACCGGGTGCCGCGGGTGGTGCTGCCACCGACGACGACCTCGTCCTGGCCGGCGACGGTACCATCCGCCTCCCGGGTTTCGACAGAGGTGTCGCCGAAGGCTCCGGGGCGGAACGAGGAGCGACGGCAGCCTTGCGGAGGAGGTGGGCGTGACCCTCACGCATGCGATGTGTGGCGGTGGTGGTGGAACCTTGAGATTTGCCTCCGCTCCTGCTGGCGCCACCATCGCCGCCGTCTTTCTTCCGGCGGCGGGCGCCCACCTTAGCCTGCGGCCGTCCGGTATTATCAGCTGGCGGACTCGAGTGGACCGTGCCGCCGGCCTTCATCGACGACGGCGTTGTCGGAAGCCCTCGCGCGTTCTTGCTGCGCTTGTTCCTCTTCTTCTTGGGCCCGACCTCCACGGCGCTAACAACCTCGGCTGCTGCTGCTGCTGCTACTGCGGCGGCGGCGGTGGGGTTTTCGCCGCCCCTGCCAGACTCTCGAGTCCCCGCCGGACGGGAAGGAACGCTAACAGCGTTTGCGACAGCAGCAGCATTAGCCTTCCCGGTAGTAACCCCAACAGCAGCAGGAGCACAAGAAGCTGACGCGAGGGGACGTTGCTTAACAACACCTTGCCCCTCCTCCCCGTTGCCCTCGCGAATCTCTAGCATTTTTCGAGACGGCCGTTTCAGCCTCTTGTGCCGCCCCTTGGTGTGGTCGCCACCGCCCGCTGCTACCGCCGCTGCCGACGCACGGGGGCTACCAACAAACCGGGCGGGTAACCGGCCGCGCCCGCTAGCCACCGTTCTCGCCTTGCCGCCTTTTCCGTTGGCCGACCGTTGAGCAACTGCTACCACTTCTGCAGCTCGCACTGGTGAAGGTAAGGCAGCCGCGCCATGGTTTTCCTCGACTTCACCACTCGACGCACAGATAGGCTCGCCCTTGCCTTCCTCTTCTTCTGAGATGATCTTCGTCGGCTCAGCACCGGGAGGAGCGGCGTCTGCCTTATCTGCGGGGGACACCTTCGAAACGGCAGCCGCAGCGGCTGCCGCGGGCAGGAGCCGGGATGCCGGAAATTCGATCTCCAGTTTTTGCTCCTGCCGCTGCAGCGGCAGCGTTGACAGCAGCGGTGGCGAAGATGGCGAGAATGACGAGGCATCGCCGTGGGGCGGACCACCGCCGCCGCCGTCCTTATCGTGCCCCAAGCAAGGCTCCGCGGTCGTGCCACCGCAAGGCGACGGCGATGCCGTTGGTGCGGTAGAGGGTGGGGAGGCGTCGACCAAAACAGGGTTTCGTCGGGGATTGGCTGGCGGCGATGAGCACACCGCCCCGGAGGGCGCCGCGACACCGCCCGTGCTCTCGCCGCATTCGCCGCTGCCAGCGTGGTTGCCTTGCTGCTTGCCTATTCTAGCCCTCTTGTGGCGGCCGCGGGTGCCGACTGTGTTGGCGCCGCCGCCACGCTTGTTGCTACCGCCGTCCCCCACGCGGCCGCCATCAGCGGCGTCAACACCGCCGCTGGCGCGGCCGGCGCTAGCCCGATCAATATCGCCGATGGCGTCATCTCTGTCGCTGCCGCCGGAAGCGGCATCTTGAGAGGCGGAGGTCCTCCCGAGCTGGTCGTCCGGAGGCGGAGTGACGACGGGCGGCACGTGCTGCGATCTGTCCGACAGCGACATGACCACCGCGAGGGCGGAAGCGAGGGAATCGTAAGGGAGGTCGGGGGCGCGAGGGGCTCATTTAATGCTTGTCTTTGTCGTTCGAACGTCGAAACGTCAAAAAGCGTGATTGCAGGAACGAAAGCAGTAACGGGAGAACCGCGCGTTCCTTGTCACTTTCATTTTCTCTCCTGTTGCACGTGCGGGGCAGGGTTTATTGCCCGAAGACGTCACGCAAAAGAGTCACGATGCGGTACAGCAAAAGCAGGGGGCAATCCACAGTCTGGGGGCGTGTACGCCTGAGGTAAACGGTAGGGAGTTCCGCTGTCGTGGACACTCGGGGTGGTACATCCCCGCGTATCCTTCAGCAAGATAGCAGTTGACCCTACGGCTAGAGATGGGCGGTTTCGCCGAGAGCAATGGAAGCCACATTTTTATTTTTCCCTGCCATCGGCCATTATACCAACAACATGCTTGGTCACTTTCGCGCGAAACAAGCACCTCTCACGGATGCGCATAGTCCCGTGCGTTTTCGAAAAAGGAGGCCCGGTGCTCCAAATGTAGGGACTCACTACTACCCCCTAGCGTTGTTCCGACACGTGTATTCCATTCAAAATACGTCGACTTTAGAGCAGGTTGGTCAAAACTGCGCCATCTCCGGTGAAGGTACGGTTGCACACCACGTACAAGAAGGTTGAGAAACGGCATGTGACTTAATCCCATCTCCACCCGCCTTGATTAGCGAGGTCAATGGTCTAACGACTACGGCATGCACGACAATGAGTACACCCCCACCCACTCACCTGCACGGCGTGGTTCCGAGAGCTACGTCACCTATCTCGGCAAGGCACTTCGGGCTCGTCCACGTCGACTTCGACTCGGGAGCCACGCGCCGGGAATGCTCCTGCGAGCCGGACGGCTCGATCGACTCACTGCCGCTCGGCACCGCCACCGCCCCCTTTAGTGGAGAACCAGCGGCGAGATCGTCGGATCCGTCCTTCGCGTTGTCGCAAGTATTGTCCGCCGTGCCGCCGGCCTCCACACGCGCCGGCGACACCGCCGCCGCCGTCGTGGTCGCATCGGACGCTTTCTGGATTGCCGCGGCTGCACGTGGTTCATCTTCCTTGCTGCCGTTACCCCCGGCAGCGGGGGTGGCCCCGCTCGGCGCCAAGGGATAGACCTCGTTCGATGACACCTCAAGCGCAGGAGTGGGGCCAACAACACCAGCAGCCTCCTCTTCCTCTTTCGCCGGGGCCGTCCTCGCCGGGGGTCTTGTTATCGACACCCCCGCGGCGTACTCGCGGTAACAGAGCTCCGGGCGCCCGTTGGCTTCATGGCCGGTCCCCGCCCAGTCGCCGCCGCCGCCCGCGTCGTCGTCGGCGTGGGGTGACGTGCGCGAAGTTCCCGTGTTGTCGGTAGAACCGGTCGCGTCCCGTTCGGTGGGCTGCGACGGTGGCCGCTCTGCGGTCGGATCAGGCCGCTGGCGCGGCAGCTGTTCGCCGATCTCGACGACGACTGTAGCGGCCGCCGTTGTCATTGCCGCCGGACGGGAAGGCGGCTCATTTTCTCCACGCCCCCCGCGCAGTTGCTGTTGCTGTCGCTCCTGCTGCTGCTGCTGGTACGAAGGCGGGGCGAGATGCGTCTGGCTTGTTGTCGATGCGGAAACAACCGCTGCTTCCCTCGATGAGACGGGAGGGGTAAGCCTGCGGTCCGGTGGCGGTGCAGTCGCTTCCACCGCCCCCACCGCCGCCACCGGGGACCCGCCCCCCGTGCAAGACCTAGGTCGCACACCTTCTTGTTGCCGTCGCTGCTGCTGCGGTCGCTCCAGCCTGCGCTGCTGCTCGGGCGAGCATTTAGCCGCGGCCGTTACGGCCGACGACGCCGGGGATCCCGACGGGGAGGCGGATGCGGCGACAGCGGCGGCGGCGGCGGCGGCGGCGGCGGCGGCGGCGGTAGCCTTTCTCTCGGCGCGGTTCATCTCCTCCTGGACCCGGAACATTCTCCTCCCCCTCGACTTCGTGGGGCCCGCAGCCACGGCAGAAGACAGAACCCTCCTTCCACCGCCGGGCGACTCCACAGTCGAGGAGGAGTAGTGCCGCGTGTTCGGCGACGGGTAGCACCCCGCTTGCCGCACGCGTCCCGGGGCCCTCACGTCGCATGATGTTGTCGCGCGGGACGCGACCGTCGACAGTGGGGAGAAGCCGCTGCCGCTCGAGCTCGCCGGAGAAGCGGCGTACGAAGGCAGAAGTAGGCTTCCTAGCCTGTAGTAGCCACCGGTTCTGCGGGCGGCCGCACGTGCGGCGGCCCCGCCGCCGGCACGCTTCCGTAGTTTCTTGCCCCCGCTACTTGGCTTGCCGTCTGCCACACTTTCCTGCTTTTTGATGGCCACGTGGGAAAGAAAGGGCGGGCGGGGGCTCAGTGTGCGGCAATGGTAGAGGTTGAATAGTGCTTCGGAGGTGGAAAGCTTCCTGCGGGTGGGACCGAAGCTTGCAGCTTCATCCAAACGACCTTTCCTTCAATAAAAAAAAGTTCCTTGGTTCAGTAACGGAGGAGAGAGAGAGTCTACCCGGCGAGAAACTGGCACGACATACTCCGGCATACCTATATTGAGTGGTGATGCTGCTGTAAGGGAACTAGCGTTTCTTGCTCATTGGTTGGTGACTGGAATACAAAGGTTCACCGGTGCTTTGATGGTGGCCCACACACCGCAGGTTGCAGGCAGGCGGTGCAAACCCAGCGGTGAAGGCCTACGTGGTACACAACGAGTCTGGGGACAACGATCAATCATGCGAGTGTTGCCTTGTTGATTACTTCTTGTTTGTTTTGCATGGCCTCGCGTGCCGAGTGAGCAGCAGGTGTTGTACTGATAAGGGGTCGGACACTTTTGTTCAATGTGAGATGACACAGCGACGCGGAATTTTGTCGGGAATATGATAAAAAAATAGGGAGTTAAGAGTAGAGAATATCAGTGGCGGTTCCGTTGCGACAAATTTAAAGTTGCCATTTCGCGGACATGTAATAAGTAAATAGACTAGTCTACAGCACGTCTCTGTTCTGTTGTTCGTATGCATGTGTACGAAAACGAAAAACATCATCACAATCCACAGACAAGAGCCCGGCATAGAATAGCACTGAGTCCCTTGAGCGCTCAATGCCATAGTCGAGTCGTGTCTCCGGAGGTTTGCACATGGGCAGAGTGCTCGGTGGGTCTGTAGCAACGCTTTTCAGGAATGTTCTTTTCCGAGGCACCACGTTTTGGACAGCGAAGGTTTACGAGGCAAATGCACGCACTACATATCATGGCATCACACCTCTCTGATGCTGTCTCACTCAAGAAGAGGACGCCTACCCTAAGCGCCTATCTAACCACGGGGAGTGCATGCATGGCAGCCTGGATGGTGCTGGAGAGTTTACGCATGAGCGAGATGAGCGTTACGTGCTGCTATTGCATGCAAGAGCAGGTACAGCCCTACAGCAAATATCGCGGCCAACGCGACCGCCAACAATAGAGAATTGAGGTACATTCCAAGACTCACACGCTATCGCGTAGCGCTTCACGGTGCCCAAGTCGCCTTCTTTCTGGCATGCAATCTATATGTAACGTTCCTGATGTGTACAAGAGGATGCGGCAGCAGACGCGTTGTCTCTCGACTCAAATTTCAAAAATATTCAAAATCGGACCTTGTTGCGCACACGCGCGCGCACACTAAAACCTCACCTCAAACGTCACCCTCTTGCGTGGAGCACCCTCTACCACGCCATAGGAAGAAAAACCTTCACGACGCAGGATGGATCTAGGTGTCAGCGGCTTGGTATCGGGAACAGCAGTAGCAGCAGCAGCCATCTCGCTGCTAGCATCGGCGGGCATCGCACACCTCTCCCTCGACTAAGATCACTTCTTGACTTGACGGGATTCGTCTGCTGCTGGTCACGCGGACGGCTACCGTCAGTTGGTTCGGACTATTCGATGCCCGTCCTTTCGCCCCCTTATTTACTGCTGCGCGGGCATGCCCTCGTCGCTTTGTGCGGGTGCTTGGTGAGGCGCGATATTTCGAGATCATATACAGGTTTGTTGTTTGTCCACACAACGAATTCAAATTTGAGCGTGGCGGGGGATCGGTAGCAGAGAACAGGAGAGGGAGAAGTAACCAGAAACGGGTATACCCGGATAGATTATTACCATTTCAGGGTACGCTTGGAAATCAAGACGGCACCAATCACCAATCTCCGACAGCATCCGCCTCTAGATCGCGGCGAAACCAATAAACCGCTGTCTGTGTCCTGTGTGTCCTGTGCCTCGGAAGCATGATGCACGAGGCAGGTCGTGCCCTTTTCTTCTCTCTCTGTGCCTCTCTGTCTCTCTGTGCTTTTACTGATTAGTCCCGCGTCAAACGAGTCCGACCTTCTGTTGAGGAGGGCCGGTATCTTATGGAGGCGGTGCCCATGAACGATGAACGAGCGAGCGTTGTTGGTGGTTTGGTTGTGGTTATGTATGTTGTTGTTTGTTGTTGTTTTTCTCCCATCATTGGACTCTGTCGTCTGCCCCTCTGGCCCCTATCCTCCACTTCTACTAGCTAGACGACCCAACCGGGGTCACGTAGGAGGGGGGGGTTGGACCCTAGGAGGGGGGGGCTGGACCCCCTCCTGCGGTTCATGCCTGAGGTATTTTTATCGCGAGAAGGGTACAGCAATCCCTTCCCTCGCGACTTACGAAGTCGATTATGGTTTACTAACAAACGAGCTTTGCAGCGCGTCGCTTTCATCCTAGACCAGGATTTATTTAGTGAGAAAAAAACTCTCTCTGTCGGGACTCGAACCCATGACTTGGTCCTTCGCAGGCTGCGAGGCTACCCACTTAGACCACCGGGGCGACCGGTGTGTGGTACAATTGTATAAGTCATTTACAGATATATTGGTATACCCATATTTCTCCTTGTAGCCAGCCTGCGGAGTCCCCTCGGCGGCGACCGGCGTGTCTCGGTCTGCTCTGCAGGCAACAAACTAGACAGAGAGGCCACTCCCCCCCCCTGCTGGCTAGGATGGCCTATGCTGGATAGACAAGGAGAAGCGACTTAGATTCGGGCAATCTCAGTCGACGATCGGGTGTCTTGAACAAGGTAAGACGATGGATTTGCCCTACACCATGTGCTTCGTCGGTGATTGGGTGGGGTCTTGTGGGATTGGTATTAATACTCGGAGTATATGGCGGGCGGGGAAGCATCGGCGTTGTTGTTTGCTGTTTATTGATTGTATATGTGGCATGACGTGTCGTGTTGTGCATGTGAGGGGAGCACGTGGTGTTGGTACGCACGTGCCATGTTCCCCCAAGTCCGAGAATAGCTCTCCATGTCAGTGTGTCTTGGTGGGCGGTGTAGTCTACTCTCACCATCACTTGTAACCTCTTCAACAAGGCTTCATCTCGAGCGATTTTGTTGTCGGTGCTACATCACAGCAGCTGCGGTGCGTGTGTGTAGTTGGCGCCTACAATATCCGGGTGAGGGCAGTGCACTTTGTAAGTACAACGGCCGTCTTGCGCACGGCGTGGTTCATGAAAGCAGCACAAACGGAAGGTTCTGTGTGTGTGTCCTGTGTCTTCCTCAGCATGCGTTTTTATTCCTTTTATGTTCTCACGCACGAAGCCTCTTCTGTTTCCAGGGCATACCATACAATGAAAGACTCCACCACATCCCGTTCGACTACAGTATGGGTACATCTCGAACGGATAGTCTCTCGGTGTTTACATTTGTATTTCCTAATACAATGTCGCCATTGGTTTGTATCGATATTCCAGACCAGAGCTCTTGTGAGGTGTCTTTTCTATATCGTACACGCATGCACATGCGCAGATCGCCTTTGTTGCCACACGATAAGCAGTCATGTCTCCAAGGTTGGCCGAAATATCGGGACCCGAGAACTCTACACACAGCAGACACACAGCAGTAACATTGTAGTTGACCGAGGCCCACGGCCGTTGGGTGTGTCGCCTAATGACATCAATGCGACGGGGGTGGCTAGTGGCTACTGCTGTGTGACGAGACGTAACATCCGTTTCTTTGTGGTGTGTACTGCTGCACGGTACATTCGTAAGTTCGGCTGACTAGGAGTGTAGTGGTCATCGTGCTTCTCAACGAAAGTTGATGCCCGTGTCCGTTAAGCTGTTAAGCCATGAGCGCACCCCCCCAGGGTTGCCATCCCTGTAATCAGCGCTGTGCTTACCAGATCGAATACAAGCATGTCACCGGCTCATTTTTGCGAAGCCAGTTTCCTTAGACTTTTTATTCCCATATTTTCGTGGTGTGTACTGCTGCACGGTACATTTGCAAGTACATTCCACCCGCCCTGTTGTCGATGCCATGTAACGTGAAGGCAACAACAGTGACAAGTCTCGCAAGTCTTGCATGTACAGCAGTATGCACATGGGGCAGGAAATGCATGTGCATTTACAGGAGTGGTTTCCCCTTACCGGAAAGGCAGCAGAGATGCTGCTGCAAGAAGCGAACCCCGCTGAAGTGCCTGCCGTGCAGCCTGCACACACGGCCAACGGTGGGCTCTTCGTTTTCTGCCCCCGTTTTACCGGTCGGAAGACTGCCACGTAGATACAAGTTGTTTCACGTTGTCGTCGTGTGTTTTTTTTCAGCAGTTTCCAGGAGAAGACACAGCAGACACAACCTCGTACGCACTGAAGAGTGTAGCAAACGACACAAGATGTCACATCACACCCACATACAAGATGAGACGCCCCCCTGGAAAGATTATTGGAATGCTATGTAGGTATGCACGTGGTGCTATGCTATTGCTTGTGGATCTCGAATGAGGAGCCGGATTACCGCCCGGCTTATCTACACAAAGGGAGAAAAAAGGCAAAAGAAAATAATGCCACCCACCCCAAATGCACCCCCTGAGGTTAGACGGCATGTAACCACGGAGCCCATGCTAACAACAGCATATCCCTGGTCACACACTGGATGGCCTAGCAGGAAACACAAGCAACACACCCTGTTTTAAGTGGGGGGGGATGAAACCACCCCTGTACGTTCTTCAGTGCAATTTTTTTCTCCCCCGACTTCTTGTATTCTCTTTTCTAGCAGGTGGTATGACATGATATGTGGTGGTGAAACTGCTGTGTTATACAGCGCGATACTTATTGTCGCTGCTGTCGTCGTTCATCGCCGCGAGTGATAAGCTTTTTCTGCCTTACCTGTTATCATCCCCTCCCCCCATTTCCACACGACTGCACGTTGCGGCAGGAACTCACTACTAGTATTGTACTTAAGTTAGTGGAGTCAGCGGTATCAACCCCGTTCTGCAGACGGAGGAATGCATATTTATATTACCTCAATCGCACAAGTGGAAGCACACAACGCACGTACAACGGACAGAGACCTCCCCCGGCACGTTTGGCAGCAGGCACGGTAGGTAAATTTCTGCAACGTTCATAATCCCTCACAACACCCTTCATGGCTCCCGCGACCTGCACTTTTTCACCCGGGCGACACAAGATAGCACCCCCTCACACAGAATACACCCGGTGGTACGTCGTTCATGGAGCCCAAATGCGTTCCTCGGGGCGTCTTGTTTAGTTTCGAAGTATTTGGTACACATGCTCTCCGTCAACCCTCACGCACGGGCGATCGAAGTTTCCTCTTGGCTGTCCGTGTTCCCCGCGTTTGTCGCCACGTCCACGCCCCTATTTTCTTGATCTCCCCCTTAACCCGGAATTCAGGTACGCCATGACAACCCGTAAGACCCAACCGGCGATACCGGGCACACCGTCTGCCGTCGCCGTGGCACAAGAAGCTCAGGCGGCACCGGGGCCGGTGGCCATCGCGGCCCACGCTGGCAAACCACCTCAGGGTGGCAGCGGCGGTGGCGTGGGCGGCGAGGCTCCGGCGGTTAGAGCAATCGTCGGCACCGCTGCCGCTCGCGGTTTCCTCACCTCGAAGAGAAAGAGGAGCCAGACTGCTGCCGTCCGGCCGTCGGCCAGTGGACCTTCCCGGGGAGCGCCGAACGCGCGGCAGCGGCAGCAGCAGCTACCTCCGTCGTCGTTGCGTGGTGCCTCCTCCACCGGCGTTCCGGTCACCACCCAGGCGCGAAACAATTCAGGGGCCGCAGCGCCGGCAAGCGCAGCGACAGCGGCTGTCGGTTTGGGATTTTTTGGGGGTGCGACGGGGGCGCCGGCGGCGCCTGCGGTAGGACCCGGGCCGGCGAGAGCAATCGGAGGGGTAGCCGAACGGGTGCTGCCTGCTGATGGGCAGGCGCGCGCAGCGGCGGGGCGGAGGCCGGTGGTAGCGGTACCGACGTCGTGCCAGCCGGTGAATGGTGCTCCGCCCGCGGCAGGTAGTGTCGGCGTCGGCGGTGTCGGCGGCGGCGGCGGCGGCGGCGGCGACCTGAACAGGCCGGACCTAGTCGCAGTCCAGCAACGCCGGATTGCCCAGCAAAGGGCCATACCGACCCCGGTGGTGCCTAGCAGTGCTCCCGTCGCGGTCCCTGCCACTCCCGCGAGCTCTGCTACGACGTACCCCTCCGGCGGCGCGCGGGCCTCGTCCCTGGCATTAGGGAAAAGCTCTAGCGCGAACGCGGCCGCCAGCGCCCAAGAATTAACCCGCGGCAAGGCGGCGGTCGGATCGCAGGGAGGAGAGATATCGACTGGAAAGGGCGGGGTCGAGCCCTGGGACGAAGACGACCAGGACGGCGGGACGGCCTACGGGGGCGGGGGCGGCCAGGGGCGCGCCGCCGTTGGCGGCGGGGGCGGGGGCGAGGTTGTCGACCCGTGGGTGACCTCACCGTCGAGGATCTTGAGCGCCGGCGACAGGGAGGACATCGCCTACGAGGTGAAGGAGAAGGCCGCGGGGACGGGGGAGGACACGGTGGTGCTTCTGCTGAGGAAAACGGAGGTAAGCGCGCTTCTGGCAGCATCCTTCGCGAGGATATATGTGCATCGTTTTTCTTTTTGGCACGTTTGAGTTCCGTACCCGTCCAGGCGTAGATTGTCGTTGCTTTCCCGAGCGCGTGAAGGACTTGGGAGAAGGCTCACATACTTGTCAGTCACTCAGCAGTACCGACAACCAGACTCACGAGACAAGGTGTTTTTTTCACAATCCCAATCTCATACCCATCCATGTCCCCGTATGTGGTCCTCACATGATAACGCGCTCTGTGTGATGCTGCCGCTGCTACTGGTTTCTGCTGCTGCTGGTCCCGCTGCTGCTGCTGCTACTGCTGCTTCCGCCGCCGCCACGCTTGATGCAGGGATTGCCGGAGCCTCTGGTCGGCGTCGAGTTCTCATTCCTCAAGCTCTCCGTGTCCTTCGAGCGTCGCGACGACGCCATTCTCACTCTGGCCAGCCTCCTGTACCTGCACCCCCTCAAGTACCGGGTGCTGTCGAGCAAGTGAGCCAGCCGCTTGTTCTAGGCTTTGGGGTATTACCTCGCTGCGCGTAGTAGTACCCACGAGCTTCGTGGTCGTTCGGGGCATCGATTTTACGTGAAGCAAGCGGAGAGAGTTTTATTGAGGCAATGGGACGACCTGTTCCTGTTGACGACCGTCTTGTTAGCCGCTCCCATGAGTTGGCCACCTTTTGTGTCGTCGTTCCCATGCACAAGTACCGCACGGCGGTGTTTCCGTGCTGGTCTTCCGCTCTGCGTGGTCGTCCTGTGTATAGTCGGTGTTACATCTCGCTAGCACATGAAGCGCATTGACAAGTGTCGCTTTATGGCGATCTCGTCCCGACGAAGGAAGCGAGTTCATTGGCTGTACATTTTTTGTCGTTCGTGTTGTTGTCGTAAAGGACTGTTTTTAAGCTTTGTCTTTGCGTTAACAGAACGCGCCTCTGCGCTTGCTGCCCCTGGATCACTCCGCGTGTTGCCTGCCTCAACTTCACGCATGAAATGAACGACAACGCTCGTGCGCAACGAAACACCACCGCCAGGCCCCCCTATACCAGGGGGTACACCAGCCTTGTCCCCGCCCCGTTCGTGGTCTCCGCCACATCCCAAGGGCCTTTCGAGGAGGCCGGCCTCGAGAGCGGCGATCTCATCCTCGCCATCAACGGCGAACGATTCGGCGAGGAGAGCTCCCGCTGGTGGGAAAGCACCACCACAGCAGCAGTCTCGCCGCCCCCACCGCCAAACGAAGAAGGTCCCGCCGCCGGAGACGACGGCGGCGGCGGCGCGGGCGGGGGGGGGGGGGGCCCCGCGGTGGCACCGCCGGGGCGCGGAGGTGGCAAGGAGAACCGGGGCGGAGCGTCCAGAGCGGGGCCGAGGAGGGTCGAACTGGTGAGGGTCGGATTGGGTTTGACGGCCGGAGAAGAAGATGAGTGCTGTTGTGCGCTTGTGCTCGTTTGCTGTATGGTAGCTGCTGGCCCCTTTGTGTCCCAAGCTTTACTTCCAAACTTCGTCCCCCACCGCTCCTTCGGCATCCGTGCCCTGCTTCCTGACGCGCTCTCTCGACACAAAATAAAAATTCGAAACGAACACACAAAAAAAAACAGCCGTTCGTGGAGCTCAGGATCCTTCGTGCCACGGGCGAGACAAGCAACACAGTCGCGCACGCCGAAAGCCCGGCGGCGGAGAAGGCTTGGGTTGCACTCCGCCTGCTTCAGCAACAGCAATCCTTGGTGAGTTTTCGGTTATTTTCATGACGTACATACGTATAGAAGCATAGTTTATGCATGTCTGTTTATATGGCAAAAGGCTCTAGTCGCTGCCATCCTGCCTGATTGGCCTAGCGGAACGGCAACGCTCGCCGTGTTCTGGTTGTCATGATTTTGGTGCCTTCGTGAGCGTCCCTGGCTGCCGCAGGCATGTTGTTTCTGCCTACTTGGTTGACAGCACTCGAAGGCCCTCTAGGCCTTTCGTTGTTTTTGGGTTGTCATGGGCCTCTCATGGTTTGGAGATCTTCCATCATACCCCTTTTTCGATGCAGACGACACTGAGGGCTACTCTGTGGCCTCTTCTTCACCAGCAGCGAAACATTCGCAGATTGTCTGCCCACCTTTATTTTTTTCTCCGTGTATTGATCTCGGCGCTATAGCTTCGAAGAGGCACGCTGCAGCACGTCGTCCAGTCATGTTCTACTGCGTTTATCTCCGTGTAGGTCGGCACATGTTGCACGCCCTTGTTTGGTGTAGAACACGCAGCTGCCCTCGACGGCAGAGACGCTGACGCGAGGGCCTTTTCTCCACGCATCTTTGCTTTCCCAGCTTTGCGTACCCGCATTGGACCACTTCCAAGCGCCCCGTGTGTCATGCAGAGGTTGGTTTTCCCGATCGCTTTGGACTCCCTTTCTTTACCAGCCGAGCCGCGCTCGTGAGATTCATTGCCACTTAGTATCGCCGCTGTCGTTTACTGTAGGATTGCCACTGGCCGGCAAGATCCAATGTTTCCGTTTTTCGCGCGCAACGTGCATCAGTATTGCAATGGCCAAGGAAGCGCTTGGTTGAGGATCCATGTGAGGTCTCGGGTGCGTGCCTTGCTCTTCCTTCGTGATTGTTTCATGTCTCAGAAGGCTTTCTATTCGCTGCATTTCTCTCGTTTTTTGCCCAATCTCGGAGTGAGACGCGGTAACCCACCTTACCGCCTAGCCTGCGGGTATCTCTCTCGCGCAGGTGATCAACAACGTGCTGCCTAATTTTCTGGACGAATCCCCCCTCAGCAAACAGGCAAGTTTTTGTTTTCATGATTGTTTTCCCGATTCGTCGATTGTGCCCTTTCCCAAAGCGTGAAGTGTCGCACCCATCATGGCACGATAGCCTCATGTCTTCGTGCCGTTTCGTGAGTCGATTGTGCCCCATCTTCTCTCCGCCTCCCGTTTCAGAACCTCGAGAGCAGGAACCAGGCGTTGGCCGATAGCCTCAAGGGAGACGCCGCTGCACTTTCCGCGAAGCTGGACCAGAGGTAAGGAAAGGGCATGTTCCGGTGCATGTACATGCAGCACGGTAGCATTAGGCCTAGATGAATTTTGTGGTCACATGGGTGTACCACAGATTCGCATGGTGTCTTGGTTGTTTGGTCCTTTTGGGCGCTGGCCTTGTTCCGGCTGATATTCCTCCCGGAGTGATTATTCTCCGTCCGGCATCTCGGTTCTCTCCCTCTCCGTGGTTCACTGTACAACAAGATGATGTGGACTGAAGCTGTGGTTCTCGTCAACACGTCACCCCTAACCCCTCCGCCTCCGCCTCATACATATTGTTTTGTAGTGTTGGATGTCGATCCAATAAATGAATTCGATACGATATCGCCTGTGAGGTGTTCGATATCGATATCGATATCGATAGTAGCAAGCGAAGGGAGCCCAAGCGCCCCCCCCCCGGCTCGTGAGGGGGCCCCGCCGGAGGCGCCGCCGTAGGCAAGAAAATTTGAGCAATTTCGCTTCATTTTCCATAAAAAATTGCCCGAAAAAAGGCCTCCGAAACCTGCCGTCAGGTACGGCCAACTGCTTGAAAATCACTATGTATGTGGGTAGTCTATTTACATCTACACCGAAAAATGAAAATCATGTTCATGAGTTGATTAATCTACACTACTGCTTCAAGGAAGCTCAGCGGTATCGCACGCCGCAACAAAAAGAGCAAGCTTGCTTGTCGCAGAAGAGCTAAGCTCTCACAACAATGAGAAATAAATGGGACAATAATGAGAGATAAACGGATAGCCTACTTCGTTGAATGCGCGCATTTCACTGCGTGCAGCTGCTGTGTGCGGTGTGGTATGCAGCTGTGGGGGTTCCGTGTGGAAGATCAGGGGTTGCGTGGAGTATTAATCGATTTATCGTTTCAATATCGAAATATCGAAATATCGAAATATCGAAATGTCGAAAAGTTCAAAATGTTTTCGGCATCCGATATCGATACGATAAAATCGATACGATATACGATATCCAACACTAGTGCTTTTCGTGTATTTCGCCATTACGCCGCCGTTTAAAACCCTTTTCTTTGTTGCCTTCGCTGCTGCATCGCTCTCGTCCGCCGCCGGTGCTTCGCCCTTTGTTGAGGCAGGATGGCTCAAGGGCTGCGAGGACAAAAGGGCCCGCTCACGCCTGTCGCGAAAAAGATTGCGGTAGGTTGTCCCCTTGCTCATACTTGTAATATACTGAAGTATAATATACTGAAGTACCATTCATGGCCAGGCGTCCCACTCCTCACGCTGCCAGAAAGTGTCTTCTTTACCACCTCGTTTTGAAAATATTGAAGCGTTCGCATACAGGAGTTGGTGTCGTAATTTTTTTTTTTTTGTTCTGTGATATGCCGTGTACAGCTTCCTCACGCCGCTTGCAGCCTCAATCCCTTCACCCTGCATCTTTCCTTAAACAACAGGGAAAACCCGGCTCGTCTTGTCCCGCGATGCGGGTTTTATTCGAGTCGAATAGCCTCTATACCGCTTTGTTGAACGGTATAACCGTATGCTATGACTTGGGAGGCTCGGAAATCTCCTCGTTCTTGCCTCAAGGGGCAATGTTTTCGCTTGTTGCCTGTTGTTTGCAGAGTCGTGGGAGTAGGGATGCGTGGTGTATTCATGCAGCTGGGGAGACGCGTAGGTGCTGTTGCTGTCGACGGGCGAGGGAAGGTAGTCAGCGGCACTGCGGCTGATGCTGGTTCACGCTGTCCTTTTGTGGTTGTGATTTAGCACCGACGTTTTGGGCACCGTCGCTAGTGCTGATTTTGATGACGATGATGACGAAACATGCGTGCCGGTACCTTTTTTTGCTTGGTTTCTAGGAGAGCGTGGCGGGATTGATGCGGGAGGTGGCTGGTGGGCCGTGGGGCCGGGCACGAACGCTCTCCAAACGGTATGTACGCAGATTCAGCACCGGTCGAGCTCCCCCGTATTTGTTGGCAGCTCCGGTCAAAGAGTAGGACATGGCCGCGTGGGGATGATGCATGTTGGGGTGAAGCTGACTTGAAGCAACAAGGTTGGGGCCGAGAAGAGAGCTCTCACGGTGACGAGGAGTTGGCCGGTACAGTGGGCGCGTAAAAAGATCAAGGGTGCCATCGCACCCTTATGTAACCCCTCCTACCTCGAGACGAGGTGCCCTGGAATGCTGTGCAGAACATAATATGCAGGGCCAAAGATGGCGAATAACCGATAGTTTGTTGCACGTATGAGCGGTTAGGATGATTGTATCAGCCGCACGTTGTTCAGTAATTGTCTCCCTGGTTTGCATCCAATCACCGCTTTGCGATGAAAGTCTAAAACCTGCCCCCGTCTCCTCGTTTGCGGACCCCCTCTGCTCGGGCTGATCTCTCCGGTATCCAGATCGAAGCCGTCTCCCCCAAGTGTCTCACCAGGTAGCCGGGGTGGTGCGACGGTGCCACGTTCCGCGTCGCCACCAACCCCTTCCGCGAAATGCTTGCCGTCATCCGCGACGGAAACTCCGGCACCCGTACCCGTCGCAACAGCAGCTACCTCTATATCTGACGCGACTAGTGGAGGCGCGGGTGTTGTCGCGAAGGCTTCACCTACGGGGAGGAGGTCGGCTTCGCCGCCCCAGGCCCCAGCTCGGACTCGTGCTACCGCTGCCGTTGATGGTGCCGCCGTCCCTTCCGTCCCCGCTGCCAGCGGAATCATGGCCACTGCTGGTGTATCTGGCCCGCCGGTTAGAGGAGACCGCAACGTTGCCGAGGTTCTTACGTCGGCGGACACAGCAGGAGCCGTGGCAGGGCCGCCGAGGTTTGGCGATGAAGCGGAGGCCGCTGGAGGAGAGGGGGATAGCGGTGGTGCCGGCGGTGGCGAGAAGGGGGCCAGGGTTGCCGGGCTTTGCAATCCCCGGTGCCTCGACGAGTTGCTGGACAGCCTGGTGGAGTATAGGGATGATGATGGCCGGTGGGTATCGTCGTTGTTTTTGGTGTGTAGATCGCTGTTGATCCGTTCTTATTTGTTTCGCAGTCATGAAGGTCGAGGTAATAGCTCTGGGCATGTACTGTACCTTGGCACGACAACTACTCGAGGCCTGTCCTGTGAACTTACTTGAGTAGAAGGAGGCCTTCACCTATGGTAGTCAACTGCCCACCGTCGCCATAATGGCACGCAGGCCTACTCCTAACCCAAATGATGCACACCTTCAGGGCCTCCGTGCGATCCTGCACCATTCCCCCGGCCGTGTGTGGTATTTAGCACACCGAACGCTCTCGAAACGGGAAACCATCATCTAGTAACCCCCCTTCACGCGTCCAAATGCTTGATTAGGCCTATCCTATACTTCAACGACAACATCGCTTCCTTCAAAGCCGCCGTGGGCGGCCGTGAAGCCGGCGGTGGCGACATCCGGCTCCAAGACGAGTGGGACGAGCGAGAAATGGCGAACCTTCGACAAGCGGGTAGCCGTCAAGCGGAGGCGCAGGCGGCGGCGGAGATACGTCTCTGGGGGTGCGAAACCGATGCGGCGGGAGCGCCCACCGGCGCCTCTCCCTCCTCCGCGGGGCACGTAGGACGTGCTGCCACGGCCACGGGTGGCGGGGCAGCGGAGGGAGGGGCGGCAGGTGGGGACGGAGCGGCAGGGGTCGATGCGGACAACGCGCGGTTTGTGCCTTTCGAGCCCGCTTGTGATGAGAAGTGGCAGGTGTGTGTAGTGCTCCTCTGTTGTTGACGTTAATTTTTTTTTCTTTCATATTTTCGTTTCTTCGTTGTTGGGCTTCGAGTTGCGGAGAGGATGCGAAACAAGCGTCCGTGTAAGTCGCTCGGATCTGGTATTGGAGTTCTTTTGGTTGAATCCCATGGGGCTGCGTTAGTGGATCGATACCATCAGTCGTTGGTTTCGGTTTCACTGCTTGCTGTTGGTTTGGCTACAACGCGTTTTTCTCCTCCGCGCGAATTGGTTCTTTCCTCATGGCCCATGTCTTGTTTCCGATGTATTCTTCGTTCCCCGCGGTCGGATCAGGTGACGTGTGCGTTGTTGTTTGATGATCCCCGTTTCCACATTACCACTGCTGCCATTCTGTCAAAACATCTGAAATTATTGTGTTGCCCTGGACATGAATCTCCCACTTGTCTTCATTCTCCCCTCGTTGTCGTCTCGCTTAAAAGTTGGCTATGCCGATGCCGGCTGGCCGCAAGATGGTGCGTCAACTGATGTTCGTCAATGGCGTCGAGGCCGACGAGCTCACGCTAGCTGAGGTAGGCATAGTCTAGTCTTGTCCGGCTACACATCGAGCTGGGCTGTCGACGCGTGGAAGCTCGCGTCTTCCCGCACGAATCGGAGTGCCTCGTCGCGAAATAGAGCCAGTTGCGTCAAATGTAGTCGTCGAGCAAACGCGCCACGCCGAGCTCCGACCATGTGCGGTAATGTTCCGAGCCTCGCACGTGCCCCCAAGCAGGAAGCGTGATTAATTGGTCGCTGCTCAAGAGAAACACGCGCAGAAACACCAAAAACATCGGCATGATACATGCGCACGTACATCGAGAACGTCCCTGGTCTTGTCTTGGTGCAGTGTGTGATTTTTTTCGGCAAGTCTTGCACTACGAAGGACGCCCCTTGAGGAGGAACCAAGCGTTCTTTCGTTCATCGCATGTGTGTCGATTCCGGATCGGACACATGCCAAATTGTTAACAACCCCTTAGTGCTCGAGTCGGCTTGTATATCGAACCACGTGATTCGTGGGCCAACCAGTCGCGAGAGAGCTGATTTGGTGCCGCCGCCTTCAGTGTTACATATCCTATGTTGCCGTACAGAACCCTCGCTTTTACAAAGGAGAGAAACCGTTGTCGCGCTAAACGATTCTGGTGAGTCTCCGGAGACTGCTTTAATGCACCACCCCAGCCTCCCTCTCCACCCCACGGCCTGCTTTTCTACTTGGCGAACCCCACGTACATCGCTCTGCCGTGAAGCTATATATCCTCCATACTATTTACCCGCGGCGGCTACGAGTTCTTTCCGAATTTCCGGGTACTCGAAGATGCTATATTATTGACAAAGGCAGCTCCAATTGGTGCAACATACCAAAGGCAGTGGACCCGTCTTCGTGGTGACCGCGTATCCTCCGCTGCTTACCTCACCCCATCCACTTATTTCAGCTACAGGCAAGCGTTCTCTCCGAGGACGCCCTTAGCCTGGCCCAAGAAGGAGACACCGCCGCGGTGAGCTATGCAGTCTGTCACGTGTCTGTTCCGATGGACGAGGCCGAAATGGCCGCGGCAGCGAAAGCGTCTGCGGCAGCGAAAGCGTCGGTGGCAGCGAAAGCGTCGGTGGCAGCGAAAGCGTCAGTGGCAGCGAAAGCGTCGGCGGCAGTGTCGGCGGTAGCGCAGTCAGCAGTGGCACCAGCGACAGCGGCTGCAGCGCAAAAAGGGACGGCGGCGGCACCACGGAATGCGGCGATGGCGGCCGTACCCCCAGCTGTGGTCGCCGGCGACCCGGCACGTCCGAGGGTAGTGGTACCAGCGCTGGCGCCAGTGGCGGCGACAGAATCGGTGGCTCAGCAGGCCGAAAGAGCGCAAGCAACAGTGGAACCGGCGGCATCAGGGGGGTCCACAGCACATACACAAGCAGAAGCTCCTCGGTCGACGAACGCCGTAAACGACTCAGTTGGTCCAGGTCCCGTGAATGTCGGGGATGGTCGCGGCTCCGAACCCGCTCCTGGCGGCCCCTCTTCTGACAAGAACGGCAAGCGCCACGAAGCACCAGCACCAGCGCCAGCACCAGCACCTTCTGACAGGAACAGCAAGCGCCGCGCGGCACCGGCATCAGCCCCGGCATCAACCCCGGCATCAACCCCGGCACCAGCCCCGGCACCAGCCCCGGCACCAGCCCCGGCACCAGCCCCGGCACCAGCCCCGGCATCAGCCCCGGCATCAGCCCAGGCACCAGCCCCGGCACCAGCCCCGGCACCAGCCGCGGTGGCTGCCGCCACTGGTGGCAGTAGCGGAAGCAGCCCCGTGCCTCAGTCCTCTGTGTCGACCGCACTGCAGCACCGCAATGAAATGAGAGAGCAGCGCAAACACACGGCAGAGGCGCTGGCGGACGAAACTCGGGCGAAAAAGGCCCGGGCGGAAGCGCTTAGAAGGCGCAACGATCCCGAGGTGAAGGCCAAGCGCAAGGCGGCCGCCAAAGCCGCTGCCGCTGAGGTGGCAGAGCGAGCGGTGACAGAGGCCTGTCCTGGGCTTGTAGTGTGGGCCGATCGTGCGGGCGGTGAGTTGATGCTATTGTGTTAGTCCCGTTTGTACTTGCCTTGATTCATTCCTGAGTACAATGGTTGTTCCCTGTCTCCCTGAGGCCGATTGTCTCGCAGGTACGGTCGTGCGACCACGCCTCTTGCCGGATAGTCCTCATGCTTTGGGGTTAGATTAAGCTTGGCGTCAGAGCCTACCGGTGCAGAGATATTGGTTCGGTCCGCGTGCCATATGCAGTGTAAAATTGTTTGATTGAAGGGCCCGTTTGTTATCACGTCTGATGCTGCTCTGTCCTTTGTAACTTCCATCTGTTTTAGTCTGTTGTGTGTGACATGGCCAAGGCGCACAATCCATGCTGTTGGCCGTTACCCTACCATAGGGTTATTTTCTCCTTGGAATGCCGGACCTTTTTCGTCTGGGCGATATCGCCTAAGTTCTACCTCGTTTTTGCGTTGTCTCTCAAGGAATCCTCGGGTTGTCCATGCGGTTTGGGTAACTTTCCTCAGACACTCGTGCACTGTATGGAGCAATCTCCCCGCAACCACGTGTCCCAAGCAAGCAAAACTCCACCGTCGATACCGGCTACCGCTCCAAGGAGATCGTGACATACAAGTGCCGATGCTCGCCACACCTTCCGCTGTTAACGTTTGCGCGGCTCCTTTTGCCCTCGCTTCTCCTCGCCTTGCCGGCCGCAGAACCTTGGCCTTCGTTGATCCAGAAAATGTTGCCATGGAAGCGATGCCTTGTTCGATACTTGGGTCCTGTGCGTGGGAGCTCCGCCGATGAAACCTCTGGCGAGGTGGACGTGTCGTCTTTGGCAAAGTTTCCGGGGGGACTGCCGTTGTGCCAGTTAATGGAAAAGATATCACCGCCGCTGACAGAGCAAGCCACGAAAGAGGAGAAGGATGCGCACATCCACGACGAGTTTTTTCTCCCCGTCAACGCGGACAAAAAGGTGTGGTATCGAGGATATGCAGGACTGTTGGCGCCCGGTTGCGCCCAGCTAGTGGGTCGTGTTCGCAGTCCCCACCCAACGTTTACCCGAACGAAGCGTGTTCTGTTTGTGGGGGGTGTTGAGGTTAAGGGTCTTGGGGCGTTGTTTTCGGCGTCGGCGTGGAAGACTGAAATTGGCTTGTTTCTTCGGTTAGGAGTCGGGATTCAGCACTTGTTGGAGCTCGGCAGGAAGCTTGAGTGTAGTTGAGCATATTCGCTTCCTGAAAGGCCAGGGGGGGGAAAGGCTCTATATCCCGACGACTCAGGGTGTTCGTCAGGTGCTGGGGCGTCATTCACTCCCGGGGCCCTGCTTCATTTGGGAAGGATAACTTCATCGAACGATCGAGTATAGACCACACCTGTGCCCATGGGCGTGAGAACCCCACGGGCGTCCTGTGAAGGGCATCGCGTATAGTTTGCTGTACAATAATACCGCGTTCTGCTTACTCCGTCACTGAAGCTGTAGGCAGTTGAATATCGCGTGCAACAGTGAAGATTGTGTTGTTTGTCTCCCGATAACGGGAGTCTTGTCTATATCCTGTGAATTACATGTTCGTTTGTACGATCACACCACGAATCTCATTCTTGAGGCGGGGTCTGTGCTCACGTCAAGCCCACCTTAACGTCCTTCTCTTACGGCACCTCACGTTATCTTGTTGCAGGTTCTTCAGCTGGCCATTGACCACGCGGTACGTCTCTGCATCGTTCACGGCTGGAAGCAAGGGGTCGACATGGTCAACGTCATCAACGGCGAACCTCTCGATGGGTTGGGACTGAGCAAGAAGCAGCGCGGCACTGAGAGACAGGCAAGGATGCCTTGTTGTGGTTCACCTGATTTCGTCCTGCTATGCCAGGGTGTGTGGGTTTCGTTAGGCCATGAACCATTGCCCATGTTGTCCGGAATGCGCCCTGGTCTTTGTTCAAAGTTGTTATGCTCTCTGTTGTCTTCGTCGTTGTCGGTGTTGTTCGGGTCTGGTGTTAACGGTGCAGCTATTGGTTTAGAGCAGGCAATTGTTGCTGCAATATGGATGGTTCTCCTGAACCCCGCGCGCTCCCTCACCTGTCGCCACCCGTTTCCTCCCTTCCTTCAGAGACGTATAGAAAGGTTTTTGAAGCATCCTAGCCAGTGGACGTCGCACGCTGACACCTGGAGCTCGTACGACAGGTTCCGAGTAATGTTCAACGACAAGGCTGAGGATGCAGACCCGCTGTGCTTGAAGCTGCGCACTGCCTGCTCCGGCATAGAACAGTGGATCAGGAGTACCCTCAAAAGGTGGTTGATCGAAGGCCGCCGGACGTGGATCGGTCGAGTAGTTAACTGTGAAATAGCACTGCGATGGGTGCGCCCATCGAGTGTATTTAATCGATTGACATCGGTCGATCGTCTGCGATGTGTCGTAACTAAAAGGCTACTGGAGCTGCGGCCCATCGCATGGAGGATCAGTTGAGGCACTTTGTTGCACCAACGGTTGGAGTTGTATTCCGTTCCGATTGTCGGACATTTGGTGCTCTTTCTTGAGTGCAGATCATGCTCGGTCCCAACGCCCCGACTCCGCCCGTCCCTCTTGTGGTATCAAACAGCAGCGGAGAACCTCCATCCTCGACTCCTACAGCGATCCCCGCAATCGGCGCTCCTGCGGCGGTTGCATCTCAAGCTTCTGCCTCAAAAAGCACACGTGCACAGCCGACGGAAGGGTCGGCAGATGCTGCCGGAAGTTCAACGGGAAGCAAGAAGGCCACGACGACGCCGGTAACCGACCCGAGCCGGCCAAAAACGTCATTACGGCCGATCTCCCCGTTGCAATCGGATCAAACATCCGCCGATGCTGGCGACGGTATGACAATCGGTGACGATGCAGAGCCTCATGACGACCCCGGGAACCACTCCACGTCCGGTGAAGGCAAAGAGAGGATGAAGGGAGGCACACAGCCGATAGTATCGCCCCGAGATTTGGGAGCCGGAACGGGAGTGTCGGGAACAGAGGGTTCGAGCAATGATGCGGGCAGCCAGCTTGTCGGTACCGGGAAGGGCAGAGGAACACCGGAGGCGGACATTGAAGAAGTGGCGAAATCACAGAGCGACAGCACTTCAGACGCGGGGGAGGGCGCGACACCGGAAGATGGTGCTGCCGGTGTGCAAACTGCATCGGGTTTCCGTGCACGGAGCACGGGGGAAGAGCCCTACACAACTGACGAGCTGGTCGCCAGGCTAAACTTCTTGAGTGCGCAGTCTGGCCTGACGTTGGATGCGGCGCTCTACGACACTTTGATCGGGCGCCGTGTCGACGTTGACATAGCGAAGGCTTCTGGAGAAGACACTGTTGCCGCGGAACGCCCTGAGGTCGGCAAGGATAAAAGCGATGCTGTTCCGAAAGGCAAAGGCAAGCGCAAGTTGCCGCATGGAGCCGGGAAGAGCGAACCCAAAGCCGGAGCCTCTGCGAAGGATGTGGATACGCACGTAGCTGACAAGAGCGTGACAATCACTCCCATCGTGACGGCGCAACCATCCAATGTGAAGGGAAGGCTTGAAGATCCAACTGAAGAGGAGACTTACGGCGATCGAACATCGAGGCCTCCCAGCGGCGGTGAGGAGGGCACCGTACTCAGCGCGGCCGTTGCCGCCAGCACTAGCGCGGCGGACGAACCGCGTTGGCAACCGGCAGCGAAGGGCCAGAACGATTGTCAACCTATTGGGAAGGATGATGGGACCAGCACTCGCACTGCTGCCGCCGAAGATGACGACGACTTCAGTTGTGGCGACAATGGCGGCGGTAACGACCATGTCGATGACTCGAGTGGTGGGAGTGACTACGGTGATGGTGTAACGGGTTCACCTCCCCGCAGACCACTTTCATCAAGGCAACAAGGCGCCTCGAAGCCAGCCATTGAACGAGCTCGAGCAAAGGCGATTCTGGGAAAGGCAAAATCTGACAATGCCAAGCTAAAAGACAAAATCCCGACCAGTGTCGGCAGCGGGTCCGGGACATCGTACTTTATCCCCAAGAAAAACGCCACTTTTGCTGGCGGGGGCGGCGGCGGTAGCGGGATGTCCACCATTTCTAAGCAGCCAATTCCTCAAAAGCCCGTGTGAGTACCCTCCCTGTTATTTACTTTGCACGGGATACAACAGCTTGACGCATCAGAACTTACATAGGCATGATCGCGAGTGCCTGGTCTCCACTCATGTGCTATGGCTGCTCAAGTTCAACATATCCCAGCGTATCACTTTGTTGTATCATGTAGCACTTCACGGCGCGACGCGAAACGATAAGTATCAGCCTTTGACACCACCCTGACGATGCTTCCTCCGTCCACGTCCAATTGCTCGGCATTCCTTTCAGCTCCACTTCTGGCAGCAACCTTGAAGTGACTCCGTCTTCACCCGGCATGGCGGCTGGTGGCACCAGCAAGAGTTCTTGCGCAGCTATCACCTCGTCAAGTATCTCTAGCGATCCCCATGGTTTGGAAACTGGAGGTAGTTCTTCTTCCACGGGCCTGACGCACCCGCCGAAGCCTATCGCCGAGGACCGGCCTGATGCGATGCGCGGGCTTGAGCAGAACGCTAGCCATCGGGACGCTGTCGAGGAGGAGTGCCGGCAGAAACTCGGCACAGGAGGGGCGTATCTCGGCACGCCGAGTAGGAACAGAATCTGGGAGAAGTTGCAACGCACTAGCGAGCAGAGCAACCGCTTGCGGGAGAGAAAGGTCAAGATCATGAAATCTCTGCTAGCCAAGTGTGCAAACGGCGACAGCAGTGACAACGACGACCACGACGATGACGAGGACAACAGTGGCGATGACGACGATGGCGACGACGGTGGTCGGGGCCGCTTTGGCACTTCCTTGGACTCAGGTGATTCTGCTTTGCGCATTCGCCCGCCAACACCACCGCTGCCAGCACGTGCCCAGCCCAAGATATCGCCTATCTTCCCCAGAGTTGATGCAAGACCGATTGGCGAGTGTAAATCTTCATGGGGCGGTGACCATCAGGGGGGTCGGGCAAGAGTGGAGGCGAGGGTACCGGACGTGCGTGTCGCCTCTCGGGGAAGAGTCATATCGGGCGCCGGCAAGCCTCTCGGTGCCCCCCCGTTCTTAGGTGTTGGTACGAAGTATCGCCCCCCCCCGCCGTCGCGAGTAGTCGGCAGCCCGAACCGACATCAAGGTCACACCAGTTTGGCTAAGCAACCTCCCCGTGATGACCCAGTCAGTCGTCCGCGAGGCACCAGTGCTAGCACCAGTCGTAGTTTCAAGAATCGGGAGGACGGGAAAAAGCGGGGTGGCGATAGAGACGGCGGCGGTCGCGGAAAGGACGGCGGCGGCGGCGGCGGTGGGGGTTCCTTGCAGCGAGACGGGAAACGCCACGACAATGACACACTCCCGAGGAAGAGCGGGGACCGCAAGCAAAGCAAAGGCGATCGCGATCACCGGGAGCGGTCAAGGCAAGAGCGCGTCAGGACCGATCGCATTGGTGACAAGCGGCGAAGAAGCGTGTCATCGAGCGTCGACAGGGACAGATACAATCGCCGCGAGAAAAAGGCAAAAGCGAAACGGCGTTCGGCCTCGCGAGAAAGATCTTCCTCCCGCGCCGGCGGCGGCCGCGATAAGTTCGCAAAACACAGGGGTGTGTCGGGCGAAAGCACGAGATCTCCGACTTCTCGAAAACGCCGCCGAAGGTCTAGCAGCAATGACTGCACGGAAGGGACCACGGGTGGAGGCAGCGGTAGTCCACCAGCTTCCAAAACAAGAGAAATTATCTCACCCCGTCGTGTGGACAAGAATCGAGATACCGGCGTCCGCCGGGCGGTCTCGGCGCCCATGATGGTGGCGTCGCCGACGATTCTTCCATTGCGGTGAGGTGGGGTTGTGGGCGGGAGTGATTCTGTAGCGATGGCGCATCGTTGACGCGGCCATTGGCTCCTCCCGACCACACGAGAACTATTGTCTGACGACGGAAGGGTGGCATGTGTTTCGGCTAGATGTCGCCACGATTTGTTTATTTCTTTTCCACTACCACGGTCCGACCACCCGAACGGCGGTCATATGTAGCCCACCCACTAAGTGCTGCCACGCTTGCCTTTGAATTTGGTCAGATCCCCCGCAGAAGAACCACGAGCAGCCCCTTATGCCGGTGGAAGAGCACACTCGCCTCTCCAGGCGAACGTAGAATGGACACCTCCAGCTGGCCAACCGCCACCACCTCAAGGCCCACCACCTGAAAATTCACCACTGTCTGCCAATAGTACTTCAGCTCAAGCGCGTGCTCGGCCAAGCGTCCCACCGAGATTTCAACAACTGCCGCCGTTGCCGTCCGCTGGAACCGGCATTCCTACTGACCGAAGAAATGTGAACATGAAGAATCGACGTTCATGGACGGATGACGATATGGACCTCGACGATGATGGCATAACACCCCGCAGCCTTGGAAGCACGCCAGTGTCTGGCCGGAGGGACGCCCCTTCCCCACACGGGGATTCTGCACCGTTCGCTGGACCACGATTGCCTCTGCAGCCGTCCGGGCCTCCGCCTCCGACCGGCCTAGCGCCGCCACCACCAGTTACCGACGCACGACAGCACGGCTTCCTTGGCCCTGTACCATTCACTCAGCCGCTGTACGTGCCCTCGGGCGCTGCTGCTGCCGCTGCTGCTGCTCCGGACGCGGCAGGGGCTGCTGCCGCTTTGATCAGCAGTCGTGATGCTGCGCCTTCAGCTGTGCCGGTGTCTCAGCTCGGGTGTCGGCCTTTTCCTTCCTTGCAGACCACTGCCACCGCCACCCCCATCACCGCCCCGACTGGCCCTCGGGCAATGATCGGTCCGGCGGGCCCTCCTCGGTTTTCTCCGCAGCAGTTGAACGAGGCCATGGCGACGATCAACCAGGCAGCAATGATCAACGAAACGGGAGCGATCAACAAGGCAAGAGCAATGCTTGCGTCGAGGCGGCAAAACCCACCCCCTTCCGCTACCCAAGCTCCTCAGCTCCATGTTTCAGCTCCCTCGCCTCTCGTTCCAGTGTTCATTCCAGAGAATCACAGACATCAGCGGAGCGGAAGTCAGTCCTTGCACTCCGGGAGCAGCCGAAGCCATGATCGCGGTGACAGCCCCGGGCCTCAGCATCACCAATACGGCGGGCCGCCGCCCCCTTCTAGGCCGTACCATCCGTGGTAGTCGCTCAGGCTCATCACCGGTCAACGGTCAATGTATGAGGCTCGGGTCATCCGCTGCAAGCCAAGGAAGGAGCGCGCTGGTGTCGGGCGTACGTTACCGTCGTACCGAAGCCGCGTGGGTGTATCGGCCACAGGGTGAAGAGGTTTACCAGGCTAGACGATAATTCAGCATCATCATATTGATGCGCACGATTTGAGATTCAAGGAGCAGGGAGTTTGGGTTTTCTTTGAACATGAGTCCTTGCGGCGGTTGGCGCTGATTGCGCCATCCGTACCCATTGTTGGTGTCGACGTATCCCAGTAGAAGAAACTCTGGGCGGTGGCCACAAACAAACGCACGCTTGCTAGTAGTCCCAGGAGGGGATCCTACAAAGGCCGAAGAGCACCTACTACGGCAGGTGGCCAGCATGACTGGGACGAACGTCAGGTGTTGTAGAATCAACAGCGTGAGCTGCTTTCAGGCTGCATTAGTATCTCTAGGGCTACTCATTGGCCTTGTGAATCTGTCCATTAGGCGAATATATTCCACGCTGTATTTTTCTGGTTGTTTCGCTTGTCCAGTTCTTTTTTCATCTCCATGTCGACTCGTAGCGTTTGTTTGGCGATAGAGATGCTTTTTTTTTGCTTGGGCTGGCCAAGATAAAGGCTGTTTAGTGGGATCGTGTGTACACGCACATGTTCCGTCTAGAGGGATCGTATGCACATGTATGCACGCGAAGACATGGAAAATCTCAAGCTCGGGTAGAGCTTGGGTCTATCGAACTAATTTCACTCCTTCTGTCGCCATCGTCATTCCATAGCCTCAATCCTTCCCGACCCGGTCTCAACTGCCGATCGCCAGCTACAGTGGAGCCCGAAGTAGGTGTGGTTTGGAAAGGAATCGCAAACCATGACTCCTCCCCGAGTCTGAGCAGCTTCCACCTCCTGTGGCCGACACGACGCGGCCTTGACTGTGTCACCATGGGAACCAACGGCCAGTTGAATAAAGAAGAAACAGGGTCCTGCGTGCTGTGCGCCACAATCTTCATTTTAGGTGATTTCTTTCCTTGTGCTGAGTGACCGTTTCCGCTTTGGCACATGCGGCTGCAGCACATGCTCGGAATGCGCTGCAAAGCGCGTAAGGTAGTCTCTGTCCTTATGGGTTGCTGCTGCGTAGGTAGCGACTAATTCCTTGGTGTCATCCATGATGAGCAGCAAGCAGTGAAGAGACCACAACAGATGGCCCGCCGCATGCTACGCATGCATCCATCCATGTTGCTTGTATTTTTTTTTCTTTTCGCGTAACGTTTGAGCGCCTCTTGCTGCCTACGTTAGGAACACACGTACATAACGTGCCCGCAATTAAGAAAATTATGTTACGAAAAATAATTGGCTCAAGTTTTAACTCTGCTCAATCTCGGCCACAACATAAGAAATGTTCCCATAAGAAACATGATCGTGCGATACCCCCTAGATATTAGAAACAAGAGGGGTTGATGGGGAAGCGCGTCCAATAAGAAATGTCCACTGATGATGCTGCTGCTGCCATACTCCCGACCCCTACCTAGCTCATGTTTGTAATATTCTACTGGTGGTAGGGGGGGGGGGAGGATATTATTCTCGCAGCGGCCCCCGCGCCCCCGCGCCGCCGCGGGCTGCGCTATATCCACCACCCACTTCCGCTGTATACGACTGGTGTGTGTTTTCTTCGCCAGAAATAAGAACATACCATAAGGAAACAAGAGATGAGCAGGATGCGACAGCCCACAGGAATAAGAAATCCGCGCTATATCCACCACCCACTTCCGCTGTATACGACTGGTGTGTGTTTTCTTCGCCAGAAATAAGAACATACCATAAGGAAACAAGAGATGAGCAGGATGCGACAGCCCACAGGAATAAGAAATCCGCGCTATATCCACCACCCACTTCCGCTGTATACGACTGGTGTGTGTTTTCTTCGCCAGAAATAAGAACATACCATAAGGAAACAAGAGATGAGCAGGATGCGACAGCCCACAGGAATAAGAAATCCGCGCTATATCCACCACCCACTTCCGCTGTATACGACTGGTGTGTGTTTTCTTCGCCAGAAATAAGAACATACCATAAGGAAACAAGAGATGAGCAGGATGCGACAGCCCACAGGAATAAGAAATCCGCGCTATATCCACCACCCACTTCCGCTGTATACGACTGGTGTGTGTTTTCTTCGCCAGAAATAAGAACATACCATAAGGAAACAAGAGATGAGCAGGATGCGACAGCCCACAGGAATAAGAAATCCGCGCTATATCCACCACCCACTTCCGCTGTATACGACTGGTGTGTGTTTTCTTCGCCAGAAATAAGAACATACCATAAGGAAACAAGAGATGAGCAGGATGCGACAGCCCACAGGAGTAAGAAATCCGTTTAAAGAAATTGGGCCGACTGGGCTGGTCATTCTGCCCAAAATACGATATTGAGACTCGACCCGATTTTGACGTTTCTTTTCTCCGGGCCCGTTCTGTATGACTAAGCGACTGTTCGTGTGTCTGGACACGAGCATGCCAGATCTGCTAGCAGCACGGGGGGGTACGTAGACAGGAGCATGCGTATGCCTGAAAA